TGCACATTAAGGGAAAGTCAAGTAGAAGGAAAAAGTCTGATGTTTAAGGCCCAGAGACCCGAAAAATGCACACTTGAACCTCTGAGCAACGGTCAGTGGTTGTCTCCTTCGCCCGGGATAGAAATCTCTGCTGTTGTATTTCCATGACAGAGCCTTCAGCCACGGTCCAAAACTTGCAAATGTCTTGATTGATATTTCCTGATAAACATCTTTCCCTTCACTCAGCTCTCCATCAATGCAATTTAACAGTGTGAAAAGCATTACCTGAAGTCAGAAGCATCGGTGACCACACCAGCCAATGAACAGCCAGCTTCATCAGTCATTTCATCTTCCACATGATTTTATAAAACATTTGTGCATGAAAAAAATTGTATTGTTCTTGTGTAAAAGAAAGTTTTTTTTCTTTTTATAGATTTCTTTTTTATTTGTTGAAATAAGTCAGGGAGTCTGTTATGAATCCATGGGCTGTTATAGGTGAGTTAAACTATTTTTAACTCTGTTCCTTAACTTAAAATACTTTGGTCTAATTCTTTGGGGCTGTATATGCAAAGGAGCCCTTTTCATTCAAACCAAATCAGAGAGAAAAGTCGCAGCGCAACAGCTGCTCTGCCTCAACATCCTGTTTCACAAACTACAGGACGATGCTGCAGCGAGAGGAAAGGAAAAAATGCGCCTCTGCAGACACGGTTCACAGCTGCAGCGCCTTCCGGACTGCTTCGCCCTGCATTATTACTTCAGTGTTCAGTTCACCATAATACTGCGTTATTGACAGTTTCCTGCGCGCAACAGGACGCACTGCTCCTAAAGAGTTTATCGGTCAGTAAATGCATCACATCCTCTTTATATCAAGCCCAGCTTTGACGATGAGGAAGTGCTTGAACTGCTGTGTGGGGCATCCCAGGTGCTGTATACCTCCACACAGCAGAGCTGTCACCCCAGACACCTCCATCCTTACCTTCTCGTGCTTTGAGCAGCACGGTGTTGGCGACGATGTTCTCCAGCTCCATGTCGATGCTTTGCCGGTTTCCAGCTCCTGGTGATCCGCCGGCCCCCCCCTCCTCCCGGTAAGGTTCAGTTCCTGAACACCGTCCACCGTCCACACCCACCGCCCAGTCAGCGAGGTAAACCCGAAACTCTGCGCTGCGCACAGACCCCGCGAGGCGCCCCTCCTCTCCTCTTCCTCCTCCTCCTCTTCCTCCTCCTGCTCTCACTCATGCACACACTCCGCCCTGCTGTCAGAGAAGAGGGAAACTACAGACCGCTCACTCTGTTCTCTATTTCTGTCTGTAACGACAGACCACCCACTCTGTAACCAAAGTTACTTTTCAGCTTGTGTTTACAAATCTTCTTTAGTTCAGAGACGGTTCAAGACCACATTTACGGTGGTGTATGGAGGGTGAAGTACGGAAGATACGGAAGAAGATTAGGGCCACTGAAAAAAAAGAAAGAGTTAACTGACTTTTAAATTTTATTTCAGCTTAGTATGGGAAAAAAGTCAGAATTCTGACTTTAATTTCAGAATTCTGACGGAATTAAATAAACAAAAATGTCAGAATTCTGAGAAAAACTCAGAATTGAGATTAAAGTCAGAATTCTGAGAAAAAAAATCAGAATTCTGACTTTTTTTTCCCATACTAAACTGAAATAAAATGTAACTTAAATTTATAGAAACAAAAACATTAACTTTTTTCTCAGAATTCTGACTTTAATCCTAGACTTTAATCCGACTTTAAATTTAGAATTCTGGCTATTTTCTCAGAATTTTGACTTTTTTCTCAGAATTCTGAACTTTTTTCTCAGAATTCCGACTTTAATTCCAGAATTCTGACTTTTTCCTCAGAATTCTGACTTTTTTCTCAGAATTCTGACTTTAATTTCAGAATTCTGACTTTTTCCTCAGAATTCAGACTTTTCTCAGGATTCAGACTTTTTTCTCAGAACTCTGACTTTAATATCAGAATTCTGACTTTTTTCCTCAGAATTCTGAGATTAAAGTCAGAATTCTGACTTTAATCTCAGAATTCTGACTTTAATCTTTAAGTGAAGATTATTTCATTATTTAAGAAATCAATTAATGTCCCTCCCCTGGATCAGACTATGAATTAATTTAACCTGTCACACATCCATCAAAGTCAAGGAGACAGGATTGAGAGGTTTTAAGGTGGCTACTGAAAAAGCTGCTTTAATGTGCCTTAAAAGCACTATTTCTTGGTCCTCTCTCAGGTGCAGACACGGCCAGTTGCTGCCTTCTCTCTACTGCTATTTACCTTACTTTGTATTATGTCTGTGGTATAGGGGCCATAAAAGGGACTGGGGACTAGCTCTGCAGGGGCACTGATCACTTTTGGGCCCTGTACTGCCTGTACTGCAGCACATAGGCACCAGTCCATCTATTTATGTCTCACTCTATCCTACCATCAATAGTGAACCAGACCCTGTCCATTTGAAACAAACATTGACCTCGGAGATGTGGAAGAGAAATCTTATGTTGAATAAAACTAATTTAATTTGTGGAAGTGTTTATTTGTATAAGACTTTGGGGTTTTTACTACTTTGGACTTAGTTTAAGCTAGGAATTAAGCTATTGGAAAGACATGGTTACAACTGAACCAACATTTTACACTGGTTCCTCTCTGGACTGTGAAATGTCCCTGTTTTAATAATAGTAATATAGTAATAATTTAATAATAAATTATATATTGCTTTAGCTGCTCAGTCTGTCTGACTTGAAGGTTCAATAGAAGCTCCTTTAATGGCTTTGTGAGTCAAACATACATTAATTTAATCAGTCGTTGATGAGAGAGATCTCTATCTAATTTATCTTCTCTTTATCTTTTACAAACTCCAGTAGCCAAAGTTCCAGGGACAGGAGAAAAACTCAGTCCTCTCTACTCGGCAACGTTCTCCAGTTTCTTTTGAGTGTTCAGAAAACACTCCCAGGCCAGGAGGGATATGAAGACCCTCCTGTGTGTTCTGGATCTGCCCTCGGGTCCCTCCCAGTATAATGTTTTCAGGAAAAAAAATCAAAAGAGAGACTCCGAAACACCCTGATCAGATTCCCAAACCACCTCAACTGGCCCCATAACTGGCCCCATTTGGTGTGGAGCACCAGCTCTTGGCTCACTCATTATGATGAAGTTTCTCACTTGATCATTTCTGCAGTTTTCTATCAATCAACCTGCTGTAGCCTCATCTGGTCCATGATGCTACACCTCACCTTGAACCTGGTCTATTCAGAAGCCTTGCCTTGGTGTTATTGGTATCCAAAGCCAAAGTCCTTTAACCCTATCTTACTTGACCAATTTAGCATTAGGCATCTCATGTGTGATGAAGGTGCAAAATGACACTTGGTAGTTGATGGGAAGCTCATAGGAACCTAACATTTAGTGGCCAAGTGCAGGGGTTCCCAAAGTGGGTTTCAGGACCCCAAGAGTATCACAGTGGTATCTCTATTTATTATGATGTGATTCCTGTAGTATATGAAGGAAAAAACCATCTTAATGTAATACATAAATGTAAATGTCCCATGAAATAAATGAATGTCCCATTAAATATGTTAATTCAACATTTATGCATTTATCTAAAATATGATTTAAATATTAGGTATACAATGAACTTATAAACTGCACAGTTAAATTAATTATTAATGTCTCATTGGATAATAAATTACACATGTAAACTTCTAAGTTAAGTGATTAAATATTATTTAAAATATGCTGTCATTTATCTAATGCATGATTTAAATATTCGATATACCATGAACTGATAAACTGCACAATAATAGAATGTCTCATTACGTAATTAAAAATATTTAAAATTGTAAATGACATAATTTAATGTTATTAAAAATGTATTTATTAATTAATCTAATACATGATTTAAAATTAGACATGAAATTATAAAATGCACAACTGAATATTTAAATGTCCCATCAGTAAATCCAAAATGCTAAACTTAATGATTAAATATTTAAAAATTGCCAATATTTATTATCTCATACATGATTTAAATATGGGATATTCTGTGAAATTATAAAAAGCACAGTAATGAAAGGTCAAATTAAATAATTAAAAAAAAAATCGAAATTTCTAGATTAAATTATTGAATGTTATTAAAATTCAAATGAACTTAGTTCTTATAATAAACCAAGAAGGCTTTATGTACCCTGTTCAAACCCCACAGTCTGATACTGTGGCTTCCTGAGCAAAACCTTTTTCCCCAGATTGCTCTCTGGATGCTGCTGCAAGTTGCCCACTGTTCCATAAGGGACGGTTAACATTCAAGGGATGAATTTTATTGCAGTGTATGTTAAGAACGACCAATAAAATTTATCATTCTTACATCTCTGATGCCTTAAGGATGAGTCTAGCAAATATCCGGAGAAAGCTCATTTCAGTCAAGATCCATATCTCATTAGCTGTAATGTTGACAGACTGGAAAATCATATTTGATGCTGTTTAACGGGACTCTTTCTTCATCATGACAGGTCAGAGCAATGCCTGTACTGCAGCACATAGGCACCAGTCCATCTATTTATGTCTCACTCTATCCTACCATCAATAGTGAACCAGACCCTGTCCATTTGAAACAAACATTGACCTCGGAGATGTGGAAGAGAAATCTTATGTTGAATAAAACTAATTTAATTTGTGGAAGTGTTTATTTGTATAAGACTTTGGGGTTTTTACTCCTTTGGACTTAGTTTAAGCTAGCAATTAAGCTATTGGAAAGACATGGTTACAACTGAACCAACATTTTACACTGGTTCCTCTCTGGACTGTGAAATGTCCCTGTTTTAATAATAGTAATAATTTAATAATAAATTATATCTTGCTTTAGCTGCTCAGTCTGTCTGACTTGAAGGTTCAATAGAAGCTCATTTAATGGCTTTGGGAGTCAAACATACCTTTCCATTTAAGATCTTAGCCAGTTTTTAAGTCTATACCCATGTCTAGGAGAGAGATATCTTTACTGACAGACGGAAGCAAATGCATCATCAGTAGGTGTGATGATTCCTGGCAATAGTGCTGGTCTGATTCAGGATTCAACATACCTGTCAACTCTGGCCTGTTTCCAAGCAGCCTCCTTCAGATTAATATGCTTACCTGACAGTGACTGTTGCCTGGATGAAGGATAATCTTCACCAACTTACCTGACTATAATCAGCTCTTAGACCAGTCACTAGTTGGAGATAATTTCGGGCGATCAGTGGTTTTAGTTCAGCATTTCTGTAGCCTGTCTTCCTGCCTGATTCTGACCTGATTCTGCCGCCTATTCTTTGAGCCTGCCTAAACCCTTTCTGAATCCTATCTGGATTCCTGGATCCCTCTGGTTTGTCTCTGAAGCTTGGATCACCTGGCTTTCACTCTACTCTCTGATCAGTGTCCCCTTGATCATTCTGCCTTTCTCTGCTCTCACGGATCTGTCCCTGTGCATTCCCCTGGACCAACGGTTAACTGTCAAAGAAGAATTCCTCCTAACCTATCTGGACAGATTCTGGAATCTTCAGTGTCACACAACAACCGGCTTCTTCGGAAACTCTCAAGTTTGTGCCCAAACTCCTAGAAGGTTAGTGAACCAGTATTCAACATTCGAAACATCGTCCTCTGTTTCTGCGCCCTTTTCAATCTCCTACCAGAAGTTCCGGTTGCTGACTCTGGTGAATCCCTCCAGACCTGCAGCATTTTCATATATTATTAAACTCTTTAAACGCCACTTGTTGCATCTGGTTAAATTCTGGGTCTTCTGTTTTCTGGCCATTACAGTGGGATAAAATTAAAGTGCAACTCACCCCCAAAATCAACTTTAGTTTCTGGCACCAGAAGCTCTGCCTATGGCCCACTCCAGAAAGGTGTTACAGCAAAGCAGAATGTCATTCCAAATGTGGCATCTATGCAGAGAATATATAAAGAAAGCTAGGAGTGGAAATTACAGCAGAAAATGCAAAAGAGTAACAGAAGACTGGAGAGTGAGGTGGTCATTGTCCTCTGCAGTTTATAGCAGTAGACAGCTCAGGATAGTTAGTCACTGTAAGCTTTATTAAAATGGCAAGTTTCAAGACAAGTCTTGAAAGAAGACAGAGTGACTCCCTCAGAGACTGAAAAAAAAAACTGAATGCTGGTTTTACAGATTCCTGACAGATAAATGATCAGT